AACTCCCAGAAGGAAACAAGACAGCACAACTCCTGAAAGAGATGGACTGTTGTAATACAAACCTTAAACATGCAACTCCAAACACCACACGCAAGTCCTCCCAGGATTTCCCCCGTCCTGCAGTCAAGGCAGTAAATTGACAGAGGTCTTGCAACTGCCTGTAACAGCACCAAACTGTAACCACAGGAGGAAAGGAGGGAAACCGCAACTAACCTCAAGGTACAGCAAATGAGAATCCTCAGTTTAAGGCTTATATAACATTAATGCAACAGCAAGATGTCTCCTGTGGTGCAGCCTGTCATCGCATGTATGCTGTGACAGTCTCTCTTTAGCCACAAAGGACTAAACTGCTCCTGAACAAACCTACTAACATTGAACTGTCTAATCCACTACTTTTCTGCTGCCACCATCACCCTCCTCCTCCACCCACCTTCCAACCTCCTTCTGCTCCTCCACTGCTCCCTATTCCCCCATTAAAATACCTAAATATCTTACCCAGAATCGCTTAGATCACCCAGCCAGGCTTTGGAGATACAAACCCTCCTTTTAAAACAGCAGCTGACAAATACACTTTCCAGCAACAGTAAAGAGGGAGGAGCTAAAAAGCTGTTAGTGAGGAATGTATCCCATGCACAGAATGGAACAAGCAGGTCCTTAATATTCACCACCCTCCCCACCTCCAACCCCACTTAGGCTCCCCAGTCTGGCTTTGAGTAACCACAGGGCATCACATAATGGTTCAGATGGCCTCTGCTGGTTCAGTTTCTGTTCCTGCATTTGGGACAAGGCAGGACTAGAGGGAAGCAGCCTAGAAGCTGGATTCAGCCCCATCAAATGGGCCATGGTGATTTACTTCATAAGCTGCAGCTGAAGGTAAGACTCTTGCTGCAGCCCTTAAGAAGCAGTACATACACTACTGATGTGTCAAGGCTCTATGCCCAGCAACAAAAAAAGTCACAGCCCTGTCCTCAGACATTTGGCTGCAACCCTATGGAACAACACCTGGATTCTTGCCTCTTAATGATGTCCAACAAGTAATCTGAGTGCACACCAGTGAGGTCACTGGAGTTTATTCAAGTTCAGGAGCTGAACCACATGACAAGAAGCTACTTAATGCCTTTTGTGCAACTATAGCTGTCAAACAGCACTTAGTAACCCTGTAAAATTAAGGAAAACCTATAGTTCCCACTAAAACCTTTAAGACAGTGATTGATTTAAGCTTCCTTTGATCCATGCCTATGCACACATTGACATGTCAGTCTTATTAGCTTCCAACCTTCTGAGACCACAGAATATACTTACAAACATCTATCTTGCAGCTAAAATTACTTTCCACTAGAATTCCATCCCTAGAACTTCTATTTGCAAGTATATCATGGCATTACTCTAATTTAACCTCAATCCAAATACAGTGTAGATGAAAATCACCCTACAGAAGCAAATTTCTACAAACTAGAAGCTTTCTTGCGGCATTAACAGCTGGAATAGATCCTTCAAACTTATTCATTCTAGCCCTCTGAGGAAAAGGCTAGTTTTCAGATAGCTCAGTATGCTACATCAGGTTAACACATGCCCCAAGTACTCACCCAAGACTCTGCAAGAATGAGTTTCTTGCTCACACTTCTGTCACCTCAAGTCTAGCAGAAGGCAACCTGGGTTAGGCACAGTAAGCCACACTGCATCACACCAGGTAGTGTTTACATTCAGAAGGATGTTTTAAAAAAGTATAACCCTTAACACTGAGGCTGGCCAGATCAGCAAGTACTTAAAAGAAGCAACTGGCTCACCAAGTGACCTCCTAACACCAGCATCATAAGAACGATTATGACATACCCAGTAACCTCTTGACCTCGGGTATTAAGGTATCCCTGCATTTCCTCTGAGTAAGAGATAGTAAGCATTTTCATCTAGCTTTCCTAGGAAACTAATCCATCCTCACTAGCCTATTAATGCAGCCCAACTGCAGAGGCCAAGTTTTCAACATAAGGCACATGCAGTATCAAACTAAAAAGCTTAAGAGTTTTGGGTTTAAGACAGTAATTCATACAAAAAAAGACAGAAGTCCTTTTCTGAAAGTGGGACATCATGCACTTCTGCTCTAAACCTTAAGGAGTCCAACTAAAAAAACAAAACCCGGTTTTCCTCTAACTCTATAAAGCCATGCAAGTTCTTTTCAGTTGGTTTTGAGCAAACTTCCAGTACTACCAAGACTCAAATCCTAACCCCAAGGGAATACTTTACTCTGTAGATTAATAGCTCCCAACATGAAAGGCAGCAAGGAAGAGCAGAAGCCTTGTGTTATCAAGTGTCCTTGTTCTAGGAGTCAGGCAGGACCTGCAGAAATGCAAACCCCCCATCTGCAACCAGGGTTCAGCCTACTGCCTGTAAAGGTCAGTGCTGCACAGCACTGCTCCCCTCAGCCACATGTATTGCGAGCCTGCATGCAATGAACAATCTCCCCTCATTTTTATGAGGATTTCTGGAGAGTTACCACTGGTTACATTTAACATATTACAAGATTTAACATATCAGAACTTGTAATTTAGCACAGCAGGGAAGTAAGATATAGGAGGCAGTCTATTCATTGGACTACCAGAAGCCTAATTTATCAAGCAACATATTTCCTGGGGCCAGAATATCTCTCTTTCTGCTGCGCATTTGACAAATCTTGTCATTAGCCTGAGTCCACCCATTTAACTGTATTACCAAGCTTTAGAAAAACAAAAGACAACTCCTATCTGCTATAGATTACAATAGTCACAGGGTTGTTTTCTTGGAGGGAAAGAGAGAAAGACAAGCCATTTGACTCTTCACCACTGGGGATTGATACACTAAGGACAGAGAAGGTATAACCCACCTCTATCTCCTTCAGAAAATCCCATGGGGTATTTATTTTTAGTGTAGCAATGAGGTAGCAATCAGCTACAGAGACTTTATTCAACAAGAGAGTCACCTGGATAACTACTTCAAAGTTGTCTTTCCTTTCATTTTGAACTACTGGCTTTGCTTTTCCACTGATGCCAACCTTGTACTTGCCCTTGAAGCAAAAAGTTACTTGGGGATTCGCTTCAAAAGCACTTACCTCAAACCTCATCTTGGCCAATTTGTAGATGTAAAACAGCATCCACCAAATTTAGAAGGTGCCTTTTAAATTCATTATAATCATGTAGTCCTTGGAATAGGCTAAAACTATTGGCTCAAGACCTTGATTACATTACACACAACAGCTACTTGCAACTGCAGGCTTTAGGTTTTCCTCATCAGCCATCCTCAGATGTATTCCAACACAAGCAAGCTAGATATCCTTGGACTTTATAAAGGATAAGGCAGTCACAGCATGGTTTCATGAGCAATTCTATATTTCAGTTTTTGCATTACTAAAACTGCTATTGTTGCAAGAAGAGCAGGTATGTTTCAGTAAACTCAGTGCTTTCTTACACTCAGAATTTCTTAATCCAAGAAGTCAGATCCAAATCTCTTGAGCTGAGAAATCTCAGCTTCTGAGTTTGACAGCACATTCCAAAGCAGAGAGGCAAATACAAATACTCCTGAACAGGCTCAGAAGACTGTATGGCTCCCTGTAAAGCAACACGGATGAAAGAAAAAGTCTGTTAACACCACATGAAATAGCTCTGTGGTCCAGGTACAGGCATATAACCACAGGATTTTTATAGCAGTTTCTTCAGATGTCACTCTTTCCTATCACGGGACATGTCCATCATATTGCAGCCACCAACCCAAGCGAGGATTATGTGGTCCAAGAGGGTGTCTATAATACCCCAAACAACTCACAGACGTGCCCTTTAGAAATTCAGAAGGTTTCAAGTGTTGCAATTCCTGTTCAACAAGAACAAGAAATGTATGCACCCTCGAACAAAAGCACCATACAACCAAGCTAAATCCCTGCGCTGTAGCACTGCAAGTCCTACCTAACAGCAGAGGAGGCCTGCAAAGTCAAACTCACCGAACCTTCCATTTTAGGCCAGTGTGCCTCACGCTGCATTTCCATACATGCTCTCAGCTGCACAGACAGAAAAAAAACAATCTAAAAAAAACCAAACCGCCAAAAAAGCTGCTTCAAGTACATGCTGCTGCACTCATGCCAGTAACAGCGACCTAGTTGAAGGCAGGGTCCAGCAACCACACATAACGCGCTGAGGCTGGCGGGCAGCACGGTGCTCCCCAGCCCGCTCCCCACTGCGGGTCTGGGCTGCGGGCAGCGCGGGGGGCTGCTTTTCCGGGAACGGGGCCTGGCCCGAGCCCGTGCCGTGGGGAGGGCAGCGCTGGCGCCGAACAATGCCCTGCCAGCCGGAGCTGCCGCAGCGCCGGGGGGAGGCCAGGGGCAGCCGGCTTCGCTCTCCTGGAGGCTTTTGTGCAAGGGGAAGCCAAGGCGGCTCCGCGGGACGCTGCCCCCACCGCGGGGCGGAAGGGAAATCCCCACAGCGGCTGCCTGAGGGGATCGGCGCCAACACCGCCCTGCCGGCACCCACCGCCCCTCTCTCGGCCCCGCAGGTGACAGCACCAGCGCAGGCAGCCCTAGCCCCGCGGTGAACGGCCGGGTAGCGGCGGTGGCTGCGGCAGGCCCCGGCGGAGCCAGCCCACCTCAGCGGCGGCCGAGCAGGTTGCGGCGAGCACGTCCCTGACAGCCCCCGGCCCTGCGCCAACTCCTCAGCGCAGCCGGGCACACGGCCTCATCCTCGTCCTACACTCCCGTGAACGGGTGGCGGCGGCACCCCCAAGCCCCGCTCACCTCCAGCCGGCGGCGGCAACAACGGCGACGACCACGACTGTACACGGCTCCCTCGGCGCCGCCCTATTTAAGCCGAGCACGGCGGGAGCGGCGTGTCCGTGTGCCGAGCCCGCCTCCTCCGCCAGCCCGCCCCCCCGCCCGTTCGCGCCACCCGGCGGGCACTAGGGCCCGGGCCTGCCCCGCCCCCGAGCCTCCCGCCCCGCCCCGCCCCGCCCCTTACCCTGCCTCTCCCCCGCCGGGGCACGGGGGAGCCGCCGGCCTGCTGAGGACCTGGGGCCGGTTGTGTACCGCCCGCGGCAGCGCTGCGGTGTGTCGGCCGGCCCGTGCCTCAGTAACCCATACAGCTCTGCGGGGAGGGCGGTGGAAACAACGTACGTGCGGGCACAAACGGTGGGGGAAGCGCAGGGGAGTGAGAGCATGGGCTCTGCTGGGAGCGCCGCTTCACACCTTACGGATCCGAGCTGACAGCTGGCAGGGGAAGCTGTTCCTACAGTTTCGCAAAGACATCTGCATCCCGCATACCTAGGCCACAAGGACCTGTGCTTCAGTATGAAAGCGTTGGAAGGGGACAGTGACCTTGTTGAAGCCTACGGAATCATCTGTTCACCTTGTTCGTGAGGGGGCTGCGGGTTTGAGGTGCTCCCTGGTAAAGCAGAGGCAGTCAGGGCTTCATCACCCACCTCTGATGGGTAGCTGGTTTTAGTTTGGCCAGGTGCTTCTGTAGTCCGTTCGACCTGTAAATCATCAGCCACATCTCAAAGTCCCACTGTGTTGCACACTCTGCATTGCCATAGTTTTCTTGTTTTTCGTTGGTATTATTTGGATGTATTTAAGTGTGTGTGGAGGATGCAGCAGTACACATTCATATATATATATCTATAATTTGTAAATTACTGGAGGTGCTTTTATTTTACAGGAAGAGAACCACCATTCCCTGATGCTTCAGTTTATACTGGAGTATACCAAGCATACGACTTCCTGCAAATTAGAGTTTTTAACAAAAGAACAAGGTATTTCGCTTTATAGCACAAAGGGGGAGAGCACTTGTGAAGCTGCTGATGGTCCCCACTTAACTGAACTTGGGTTCACACTGTGGAGTGGCTCTAAAATGCAAAATAAAATCCTTTCCTGGGAAAGAAAGTGGAAGCGGAGAATCCAGGAGTGCATCTGACTGGCTGCATCTGCTAATGGGCATGGAGTCCATGGCACCACTAGAGCCTGTCCGGGTAAAGCCCTAGAGCACTGTCAGCATAGACTTTAGCTGCTCTGCCATGGTCGGGCTCTGCTGGTTTGTTCCTATTGCACCACACTTCATGCGCATGTAGACACAGCCAGTCTCTGCCAAGTGGTTTTTGCACTACGTCCAGGGTTTTGAAGGAATAGAGTGATGTAGAAATACACTGTCTCAGGCACTGGTGACTATGTTTTGTGCCAAATGCATCTAGGTTCCATCTGCCAAACAGAAAAACATATTATGATTGTATCTACTACACTAATTGTTCCTTCATTATCACATCTTTCTCCACATCTGGGTTTCTGAAGACGGAGGCCACGTTTTAGCCTTCTCTCAGGGAAACTTTGGGGAACTGATTTTCTCTTCTCTCACTGGAAAGAGAGTTTCTAAAAAGTCTGTCACTTGTACTTACCTTTTCATGAATCCTGTCATCAACATGAGACTGTGAAAGTTCCAGTGATGCAATATTTAAATAGGCATCTCACTAATGCCAGGGATCACCTCTCTACTCCTACTTGACACAAGATTATAGATCCATGGACTACATTACTCTCTGAAATTGGCTTTTTTTCACAGCTGTTCAGAAAAGAGAGGGACCTTGTCTCAACCAAACAATGTAGGAAAACATACACAGGCAACAGGGAAGTAGGATCAGTACACCTACAATGACAATATCGGACTGTCTTACACAGGGAGCTAAGGAAGCTGGGGCTCCTGTGATCTGTGGTGGCTAAGCTCCAGTCTGTTTACCATGTTTGTGGCCCTTCACTGAACTCTCTACAGTATGTCCGTGTCTCTTTTGTACTGGGGAGCCCAGATTGGATGTAGCATTCCAGGTGTGGCCTTCCCAGTGCTGAGGAGAGGGAAAGGATCGTCTCTGCTTGACTGTCTGCACATGAGGATGGACCACTACGGAGCTTGGAGAAGGTGATCCTCAAAACGTCAATCAGCTTCCTTGGACTTCTCTTCTCTCCAAGACCATTACCTCAACAGGCCAAGCATCCTCTAAATAGATTACCCAAACCAGAGGATTTCTGTTTCAGCAATGTATGGATATTATAACCTCTTTAGCACTAGTATCTGTCAATAGTATAGCACTAGTATTTATCAATATTATTGATATCAAAGTACTATTCTTACATACCTATCTTTGCTGTCATTGACAAAATAAATTAAGCATCTGCCAGAAAAAATATCTCAGCTGTGTTCTTTTTATTTTGATTTACAGGGCATGCACATCACTGTACTGAATTGGGTTATCCCAAGTGTATAATTTTTATACAAAACAGATTGCCCAGCCTTCTACCATACTGTATCTGCATCTGCTAACACTTGTGTGGAATCCCAAGAGAAAAAAAAAACAAAGAAATGTTATGTAAATAAGCCCTTCAAAATGTCTAGCGTACATTGCAATTAAAAAACATGAGCTACTGGGTCCATGGAGCAGGCATAGTTACTTATGTCTTGTCAACCCCCTTCCTAGTGGGAAATGAAATAATGCTCGTTTTACATTTGTAACTGTTTCACACACTTGAGAAAGAGAATGTAAGTCCTGATAGGAAATGCCAGGGAGCAGGAAGACTCTGTAGCAGGGAGTAAGCAGGGAGCTGAGGGCAACTCCAGCAAAGGCAATGCTCTACCCCCAGTGTGCCGGGTGACACCAAGTGCTTTTACCAACAGCCCTAGGCAAGCTGAGGTGACAGTTCAGGGCTAGGGCCCATGTGGAGACCCAGTGGGCAACAGCAGGAGCCAGCACTAGGACTGGAGACAAGGTTGGGACACATGTCTAGGGAGACAGGGCTGGATGTCCCTCCAGATTCCATCCAGGAAAAACACAGGAATCTGGGAGAGGAGGGGCAGGGCTGGGTATGGTATAGCTTAAGTGGATCCCCTGGACCACTGGGCAGGAGCATGGGTGAGGGTCCCACACAAGCCTGCTCAAGGCCATTAAGGTCTGCAGGTGTCCCCAGAGCCCTGGCAGCAACACCAATGTGCCCCAATCTCACATAAATATATGGCACACGTCTGGCTGCATGTCACCTGGGGTATTCATAAAATCATGAAGTCGTTTAGGTTGGAAGGTACCTTTAAAGATCATCTAGTCCACTCCCCCTGCCATGGGCAGGGACATCTTCATCTAGATCAAGTTGCTCAGAGCCCCATCCAGCCTGGCCTTGGATGTTTCCAGGGATGGGACATTTATCACCTCTCTGGGCAACCCATGCCAGTGTTTCACCAGCCTCATTGTAAACACTTGCTTCCTAGTATCTAGTCTAAAGCTCCTGTCTTTTAGTTTAAAACCATTACCCCTTGTCACACTTCTTTTGACACAGCCCGGGATATGGGTGGCCTTCTGGCTGTGAGCACACATATTCCTGCCACACATTGAAAGACAGTGACTTGGGGACTTCAGTTTCTTTGAGCTTGTATGACAGTTAGAGCTGGAACAAAACGGTAGTGTGTGAAGAAGAGACTAGAATAAGATATCTTAGGCTTGCAGCAGATGAACTCATTGTTGAGGACAACTGAATCTGGTTATTTTTATGCCATTTTTTTTCCAGGTCTATGTCATTATACACGTGCATTTTCATCTAAGAAACAATACATCATATAGGGCACAATATCCAAAAAAATAAGAGCTATGCAGAAATAGGAAACTCTATCCTAGGTCAGAGAGAAAAAAGTATTTGGAAGGATTCTTGAAGACCACAGTCATCTGTCTTCCTTACACACAAATAACACAAACTCAAACACACTGATGTCATGAATAAGCTGTATTGACAGGGCTCTGAATAAAGGTCTGCTCAGGGCCAGCCTAAACCATGGCTTGGTCACACTTATTATGGTCACACTTATTATGGTCACACTTAAATAGTTCTTCAACTTAGAAAGACAGAAATAAGAAGTCATGAACGTATAAAAGTTCCATGAAATACACAAGATTCCTAACCAGCAAAATAAAATGTTTACAAAATCATCTGTTTGAAAACACAGGAAAGAAAAAATTGCAGAACTTCTGTTGCATACTGGAATAGAGACATGATAGATACCCATACACACACGGCTACATAAATATAGAGAGACATTTTTCAGGAAAAATCGAAAAAAAACTACAAAGCCAACTTAAGAAACAACTGCATGTTTTTAAACATAATGATTTTGTTGGGTTTTGAAGATTTTGTGGGTTTTTTTTTTAACACAGGAAGGATTTTTCAGCTGTTCCTGCTCTTCCTTCCACTTTCTGTTACTGTCTGTTTACCAAATAGTTCTCCTTCTCCTGCTCCCTAGCCCCTTGAGGACAAATATGCAGTTTATTGTTTGGGATTTTCTGATGGCAGCAGCTGCATGAACTGACAAAGTCCCCATTTAGTTTACACTCAGCACATAGCAACTGCCCTTCCCAGAGCACTGGGGTGTGAGTTTGAACCCCAGAAGATAGGAAGGAGACAGAGAAGTCCTATGGAAATAGCATTCTGTCCAGTAAAATGAAAACAATCTGGCTGTAACTGATTCAGATTGCTTATGTCAGGCTTACAAAAGTGTTATTTCCTCAAATGACAAGGTACCTATATAATGACACAGGACTGGAAAAGCCAGGATAAACCAACAACAGATTAGTGTTTAAGGCAGTTCATTTGCCACCAGTCATTTTTCTTCCTCTGAACTTTGGTTCACAGGCTTCATTTCCCCCGCTCTCTCCTCCAAGCTATACATGTTTACTAGCAAGTTTACTACTTGCTTCATCCAAACAATCAACTTGAGTAAGAAGGATATTCTACTGGTTGTTTCTGCCAGAGGAATACAAACACGGCAACTTCACTTTTCCTCTTGGAAAATATTTTCCCCAGTCACTGTTCCTCTGTGTGTTTATTTTTTTGAGGGTCAAAGGCATTACACAGAAAAGACAAAGTTTACATGCTCTGCTTCTGACATCTACTTGAGACAGAAGCTGCAATGTCTAAAGCTTACTACAGAAACACATAAACCGACAATAATGTTCCATCTGCTTAATTGAATACTAAGTAAAATATTACACAGAAAGCATTAAAGCAAGAAAGCTCAGAAGTTAAATATTTATTATGTTTAAACTCCAACTAAAAACTAAAGTACCTGTGTCAAAAAAATAAAATACCATCCCTTCTGCTGGAGCATTCTGCTGGAACATGGTATTTTCTGGCTGCTAAAAGGAGTAAGTGGTTGTATTTGGTAGAGTTTACAGCTTACTAGCACACCTTTAACACAAAACCAAACACGAGAGCATCAAGTAGTGCCAGACTGCATTATACAGAATGTCCCTCAGCAGCAATGACCTCCAAATGCACAGCACGTTTTCACATCTTCACATACCCACACCGCTTTGCAACTATTTCTAAGAAGTACTGGTGCATAAGCACAAATTCAGCCCCTGGAGCAAGCCAGATGCCATGGCAAGGAACATTTGCTTTTAAGGGCTCGCCTCCTCAAACTTGCACCTAAAAAGCATGCTCCGCCACTGCAAGGATTCATTCAGGCTCCTCCATCTCAGTGTTACTGCCTACAGGGGTTAGAAAGGGAACACAGAATTAATGAGAACCAAGGCCTTTCCAAAAGGCAAAGAGGTTATACATAGTGATCTTGATGCCCTGATTTTAAATTAGCGCCAAGTTTAAAAAAGCCTCAACAAACCTTATTTCTTATGAAACACGTCTGCATACTGGAACATGTACATCAAGTCTGTCATTTGCATTTCCATATAACACTGATGTCGCAACACTTAAACCATGTGTGTAAACAGAGCTCTGCTTTTGAAAGGGTGGCCCCACATCTCTACTGCTGTAGCCCACCACATACCAAAAAAGGTTGAGCCTGCAGATGCCGGTTCAAGATAATGTGTGAGCAGGCCTTGGAAGTTATCAGCTACCTGGCTTCAACAGAGGGAGAAGATCCACAGGAGCCACTCATGTAAGTCACCAAGCACCAAAAGATGCTGAAGCAGAGTCTGGTGGACAAACCTTATGATTCCCATGCATGGCAAGCCCTGCTCCAGTGCTTGCCTCCTGTGGGAAAGGGGGACTAAGTGCAGGGAGCTCAGGCTGGCAGCTGAGCTATGAGTAAGTAGCTCAGGCTTTAGTTAATGCTCCTTCTTGGCTACAAAACTGAGGTTGCACACTCCTTCATGCTTTGGTGTAAGGCTGTGTTGAGACAGGGTGAGAGCTAGAGCCAACACACAGGTTAACGTTATTGGGAAGACGAGCCCTGGGAATATTTTTAATAAAAGGCTTGTAGGACGTGGAT